AAATGGGAGGTGAAAGGGCCTCATAAGTGGAATAGCCTAGGGCCTCTTTTCATCTAAATCCGGCCCTGTCAATAACCCAAATTTTCTAGTGTCAGATTAATCAATCAATCTCCTTTTCCTACTATGAGATGCTTTCTTTTGTACAAAACAATCAATAAACTAATGAGACATTCTGATTCTGATTCCTATTGCTGTGTAACAAAAGCTATTCAATTCCACACAGTCAAGGCTTTAGGGCAAAGTTCATCAATCTGAATTAAATATATGTTTAGTGTCCTCATGTAGGATTGAAAAGAATCTGGGCAAAAGATATAACAAAACAGTATATATGGAGGAAGTGTTAAATACTGAGAAGTATTTCCTTTTAGTTTTGTACCTAATTCAACAAAAGCCAATTGTTAGAAAAAAGTATCTGTGTGTGTGTGTGTGTGTGTGTGTGTGTACCATAGGTTTGAGCGCCAACACATACAATCATTTTCCTAACACTTCCACCTACAAAACATCATGTTTAGGTAGAGTAACTTCTAATGTCTGACTGCTGCTTGAAATTTAACGATTAACATGTCAACAATATAATACATTCTTGAATCATATTACAGGCCAGCTGTATCATATTTATTTCCTACTCATTAATTTAAAACATATACTCATTTTTTTCTATATGCATTCCAATTGATTGTAAATGCCACATGGCTACCTAGTGGTATTAATTTTTATTAAAAGCATTATTCATGGGTCATCCTAACATCCTATAAGTATAAAATTGTGACTGGTAAGTACGATTTCAATATGGAAATACTAAATGAGACTAATATATCTTGGCAATGTCAATTTGATTAATGTAACAGAAGGAAATTTCAGGAAAAAACGGAAATTACAGGTCATTAAGTGTAAATTCAAATTATATTATGGGTTTGAATGATTTTCTTCATTTTTTTGCAGGATTTTTTTTCATTGCGGTGGTGGTTGTTTCATATGTATCTAATCTTTCACTGTATAAAGCAAAACATTTTTCTTCCTTCTTAGTTTATTTTAAGTCATATAAAAGAAACATGGTCTGCCAGTTTCTAAGCATCTGCTGATATGAAAAGAAATGTGAATCTGTGTAAAAGCTACGATTATCCCCACTCTTATCATTTTAAAATCAGTATTATTATTCAGAAGCTGTGGTTTAGCTCTTCAAGTTTGCTCAACATTTAGAAGACATATTCCTTTTTACAAATAAACATACAGAAAAAAGCAGGTATGTAGCAGATATATCATACCAATTCAGACTTGAAAAGTCAAATGGATTGATTTGAAAAGAGAAAAGAAGGTAGATTTGTTAGGGAAAAAACCCTTAGGTTTTAAGGAAAATCCGGAAACAGAAGACATCTGGCAAATGAATGTTATTCCAGACACAGAAAAAAGGCATCCAGAATAAAGTTAAATGAGCTGCAGAATATAATAGTTGGTTGGAAAGAACAAAGAAACAAGAAAATGATTGTTGGCACATTTATGGACTATATTATAATTTAAATATTAATAAAGGTCATCTTGAACATGTCAATTTTCCCAATCCTTTAGCAAATGCAAAGATGATATAGAACTTCAAATATCTATTTAATATGACAATGTTTAATGTTTATTGGTATGAATGGTAGTGAATTGCTCAGAGCTCTAAACATGCATGCCAAAGAGCTCTTTATTAGACAAATTTATTTGCTTGTTAGTTTTATAAATGTATATTCTGCTGTTCTTCAATACGATGACTTAGGCTTGGAACTGAGGTGAACTGAAGATGGATTGTAGATAGAGATGAGCTGCATAATAGAAATCTCTCTGCGATAGAATTCTAAATGGAGCAGCAGTTACACAGGGGGCTGTCCCACTTTCTTAGCAGAAGAGATTTTAATCCACTGGCACGAACAATTGTTATGACTGTAAACTTTCCTCATGCAGTGAATGAGCAGGACATATAAATGTCTTGTCATCCTGGGCAAGTCTACTTGACACTTGGACTGATTGGTCTTCTCCACTCAACCTGCCAGGAACAGATTTTATATTCTGGGTTAGAAAAATCCCTTACCTAACCAACAAGAGCTGAGGTGGCGCAGTGGTTAAATGCAGCACTGCAGGCTACTTCAGCTGACTGCAGTTCAGCAGTTCGGCTGTT